CGCCGCTTCTTCTACCGAGGCCGAGTATGTTGCGCTACATTCTGCGTCTCAAGAAGTGTTATGGTCGCGTCGACTTCTAGGGGAGATAGAACAAGCGCCAAAAGATGCGACTGTGATTTTTCAGGACAACCATGGCGCCATCGTCCTCGCACGCAACCGGATTCTTCACGCACGCACCAAGGGAGGATAGTGAACCCCAAACACCAAGTAACCACTTCCTAACTTTTGCCGTAGAGGAATTTGAACCCTCACTCAGCAGATTGGAGCCACCACTTTAAACCACTGAGCCAAAATTCATATCGAAATTGAATGTGTAAATCCAATACTTATGCGCACATTTTAAGTAAAAACTTTTAAGACTCACACGTAAGGCTTGGCCAACAATGAGTGAGTTGCCTTGGACATCCCTTCCGCGTAACTTCACTCACTCGCAAACTCACTCACTCACTCACACACTCACTCAGTCACTCACTGCTGCGCAATTTGACTCACTCATCCCTTCTTATCGTCACTCATTCGCTCCATCGCATGCAAATGGTCAAATTTGACACACCTGAGAAGCTTGGAACCGTTCTTGTCGCCGTCTGTGTTCTTGCTGCGGCTAAACACATTGTCACGGCGGCTAGACGGTTGTGCTCGTCGTATTTGGATATGTCGCTCTGCCTCCGCTAGAGACCATCACTGATCCCTCATTGCTCTTATCCGGACCATCATTATAGCTGTGCTCTGGGCTCATGTCCCCCGTCTCCCTTTCGGGTGCAGCTGGAGGCAATGCAGTCCGCAGAGTAAAGCCCGAGTTCCGGGCGGCGAAGGTGGCTTGGGATGAGTGGTTCTGATAGGCGGCGGGGTGATATGAGGCCGTGTGAGGTGCCAAGGTCGCTCGTGCAGGAGCCGGAAAATTGGAAAGAAACACGTGGCTGAAAAGCCTCCCCAATAACCTATCAAAATTTATACCCTCCAATTTATGCGAATTGATTTCGAAAAAAGTATGATTTTATGCAGATTCACGCACATTTGTGATACTTGGAAAGCGTTCAACAAAGTCACCGAGTATCGGAAACGTCTTTAGTCTTCGTAAAACCATGTGGAAACCTTTCATTGTGTCTTCCCCGAGTAACCGCAGTGGAAGTCTCGAAGATGTGCAAAAAATGGCGTAAAGATTACCTTGATCGCGGCGAGCGCCGGTGTAGACTGTCTGCCGTCGAATAGACACCGATTTCGGTCGGATCAAAGAAAGTGAAGTGTCACCGCTTGGAGAACGTGCCACACATTGCCGACAACGTTTTTGCAGGCTTTCCAGTCGTCGAACACTCGCATCTTCTTTGCCAGAACATTGTCAAGCCAAGTTGGCCGCGCAACGAAGAACGGAGACGCAAGCGGAAGAACCTGCCGCCAGAGGTGCGATACGAGGGTGCAGTCAGAGAACAAGTGCTGCTCAGTCTCTATGGCATTGCACCCATCGGAAACGCATTTGCGGATGCCTGGGTACGACGTCTCCAGGAACCAGAATCGCGAGCGGACTAGCAGAAGACGGAACGCCAGTCGAAACCGCAAGTCTCTGAAAATGAGGAGCAATATTGTACGCAGTCTCGGACCGAATTTGACAAAAAAATTGATCTGTGCTTTGTTGACACGTTGCGAGTAGACAGTCATCGGGTGCAGCTTGCTTGGAGCTCTAAGTGTCCACACGGTACTCAGAAGTGCTGACCGCGCAAAACACTCTAGCGCCACTTGTCACGCCAATAAAGGGGGAGTAAACCTACCTTTGGACTTCTTGATACAGGCAGGGCGAGTCGCAGCGTACCGAGCCTCGCCACAATCTGCGTCGTCTCCTTGTACAGCATTCCAAGCTATTTTGCTTGCAGCCCAGGCGGCGTAGACTCAAGGGTGGTTTAAATGTGTCGCTGTACAAAATCCTGTAGAGACGGCCTTGCGCTAACTGCAACCATGAAGTCCTACAGTGACCGCATCCTGAAGACTCGTGACACATGTAGACAGAAGCTTCTCTGTGGCGTAGGCACCATGCCGATGCAACGACGATGAGCCGTTGTAGTGCTTGATCTTTTAGTTTGCTCGTAAAGCAGCTGAGCGTCGGCGTGGAACCATATCGGCTGCTCAAGTCCATACGCTGCGCGTTCCGCTGAAGGAAGGTCATGCCATGTTATCTTTCCGCGGGCCTTGTACCACAAGATCCACGACACTCGTTTCCAAGTCGACGCTACATTCCACTGAATCAGCTCGCCGTGTCGGAGTGGAGAGATCGTAAGTACGTCCAACGCGTTGCGCTTGCCGTAATGTGGTAGTATGGACGACGCCCGCCGTGGTCCAATTGCACTCGCAAGTCGCACTTGCCGCACAAATGAACTGCAGAAGTGGTGAGAGACGCTGACAATTGAAGTGCGCGTTCAAACATGGGACGCCAAGTCTTCCGTCGATTCGTCTCTGCTACACGAACTCGCCCGGAATAAGCTGCACGTGCTTCGCGTCTTAGTCATGTTTGCGGCTCAGAATGGATCGGTTCAGCATAGACTGTCAGCGTCGCACGACTGTCTGTGCGATTGATATATACAGCGTGTAGTGCCACAGGCGCAAGAGAACCATCGTTTGTTTTGAGAAGTCGACCACGAAGGGTTTGCGCACGTCGGTACCATGCCTTGATGCCGTCGTCGAAGCGTTGATTCAACAGCTTGACGATTGAGTTGTCGACTGGAGCTTGGCTGAATGGGATGCCCAAGTACTTGACAGTTTCGTTGCGACCGGGCACGTGGACGCCAGGTAACTGAGGACAGTCCACCTTCCAATTAAGCGCCAATAGCACCGACTTAGAAAGGTTAAGCTTTGCTCCAGAACCTTCACAATAATCCGCTACGATTTCAAGCTGTGCCTGTAAGTTTGCAATCGAGCTGGTGAGAAGAGTTGAGTCGTCTGCAAAGAACGTGCCCGTTGTGGTGTGGTCTGCGCTCAAGCATACGCCATACTCCTAGTGTGCGCGCAGCAGATTGCCCAGGGGCTCGATTGTAAAAATAAAGAGTAAGGCAGACGTCGCATTGCCTTGCTTCACGCCGCGTGTTGGATGAAGTACCAGCCGGATATTGCCATTGATAAGTAGGTGGACTTGTGGTTTGGTGTACAGTAGCTGGATCCAAGCGATGAACTTTTTTCCGAAGCCCATGCGGACCAGCAGTCGAAACATGTATGCCCAGTTGACGCGATCAAAGGTCTTTTGGTAGTCCAAGAACATTGCATATGCCTCTTCGTCTCGATTCGTGACGAGATCTTGCAAGTCGGTGAGAAAGCGCACGTGATGATGTATAGAGCGACCTCTGACAAAACCCTTCTGATCTGGATGAATCAAGTTGACCATCACATTTTGCAGCCGATACGTTAGCGCTTTTGACAGAAGTTTAACGTCGACTGGAACGAGCGCGATTGGTCGGTAGTTACCCGGCTCAGCACGCGAACCTTTCTTGTGTAGCAGTACTACCGCCGACTTGCGCTGGGACACTAGGAGCTCACCGCATTGGAGTCGATCATTGAAGACGATTGCCAAACACGTCTGGTGCTACTTGGTACAATCCAGCAAGCAAGCCGTCCATATCTGGAGATGATGTCGCCTTCATATGCCGGATCGCACAAACGAGGTCTGCTGTCGTAAGCTCAGCGTTGAGCCTCTCGCGGTCGGAGTCTGTGACAAAACGCAAGACCGAGTCAAGAAGCTGGCGTTGTTTGCCGTCATCGGGCGGAGGCGCCACTCCAGTCGGACTATTGGCATCCCCCATCTTGGTGCCCCAATGCTCAATGAATCGCAGCAAGATTTCTTGAGGGTTCGTCGAGACATCTCCACTCGGTGTCACGACTTTCTCGATGGAAACACGCCGTAAACTTGTATCCAGTGGACTAAACAAGTGATTGGTTGAACGTTTGGAGTTTGCTGCTTGGAAGTTGAATGCATTGTTTTGGCTGTACTGGCTAGATCTTTGCACCATCTCCTTGTAATTACGCATCACTTCGTCGAAGAGCTCACTGTTGTCCCCATTCGACGATACGCTATACCGCTTGGCATCTTGATCCAGCGCGATACGGGCGGTTTCAACATTTTGCAAAATGTTACCGTCGTAGCATCTTCTGCACGCCTTGCAGCTGCGCCTTGATGCTCACCTTCGACGTCTCCCAACTTTTGCCGGGGTTTTCAGCAGCTCGTAACTGAGTCCGGACGAGCTCGGCTTCCTTTTCGATCACAGAGACAACCTTCGAATAGTCAAGCAGGTCGCGGGGAACTGGAACTTCCCCGCGACCGTGGAGTTGCTTGCCCGGGCTGAGCGAGACGCTGTGTGCAAGGTGATCACCAGCGTGTCTGGGCAGGAAGTACTTGGACTTATCAAAGTAACGGTTGCAGAACTCAACTGACATCAAGATTTTGTCAAGCCGATTCTTTCGCGGAAGTGGACCGGTGAACACGCGTTTGGTGTCGAAGTGGATGCCACGCATCGACGACGCAGAGTTTCGCAAGTCACTCCAGACAACTGGAGCGACTCGGGTCGTAGCGTAGATCGGGCTTCGAACGGTCCAATTTTGGATCGAGTGGTGTGTTCAAGTCACCAAGCACAAAGTGCGTCGCGTCGTCCTCAAACTCGTCGGTTGGCAGATCTGCAAAGAATTTCTGCTTCTCTTGTCGATCGACGGGCGCATACACGTTGTGAATGTAGACGGGAGCGAGTTCGACAATCAATTTCACGACGAGATAGGTTCCTGGCACCGATAGACGCGAAAGCTGAACAGCCATATCAAAGCCGGGAAGAACGAAGCTCAGAAGCGTCAGGACGCCGCTGCTTCGACCATTCTTGGGTCGATTCAACAGCGCGTTTGAGTAGTTGACGAAAAGTTTGTGTTTGAAGCTTGAGTTGAGATGAGATGAAAGCTGAAGATTGAAAGATGCTGTACGTTGCCAAACTTGGTTTCTTGAGCGCACGATATCGAGTGCTTCGAGAGAAGGCTGTCGATAAACAGATGCTTGTTCTTTTCAACACCATTCGTGTTCACGGTCATCAAAGACACGGCGTTCCAGGCGTGTTGTACTGCAGAGACAACTTTAGCAGCGAGCGGGCAAGCAGCCCGACACTGGAACAACCAAATCATCGGTGTCTACGAGGAGCTTTAGCATCAATGACTCGACCGGGTAACAGCCATCGAGCTTGCACAGCGCTCCCAACTCATTAAGCAAATGACCCTGCCATTGCACTTCTCGCCATTGCTGCATGCAAATGTCCGACCGAAGCAAAAGCAGTAGTGCGCTCGGGTGCAGGATACGCGAGTGATGTGCTGGGATCCATTCGACCGGTTGACCAGTGAGGTACTGAATCCAGTGATCGTTTTTGAACAGTATTGGCGCGATCGACATGAGCGCGGGCTCAAATATGCCGAGCGCCTTCAACGCACGTGACTTCTTTCGTATGGGTCCACCACCTGTCACACGCATTGAAGATGTCATGGCGATTCGACGGGACGGCCATTCCCATGATACGCTTCCACTGTGTCAAGCACGTCGTGTCTTTGTTGGGATACGTCGCGCTCATCACACGGTTGATCAAGTGCAACTGCGCGAGATCGCCGATCAATCTGTCGTCGCCTGCCATCGCAAGCGACAACGCACTGTTAAACGCGAGCGGACAAGCTGCAGCCGACTTTACAATATGATCCGGGTTTGTCGCATTTTCA